TGATAATACAGTATCCCCTTGCACAGATGGGGCACTGAGACATGCAGAGAGAGTAATCTACACAGCCAGTGACCGTGACCCTCCTCACCTGGGTCAACACTTGGGTGCCCATTGTCATGCTAAAAGTAGTGGTGCAGGCAGTGTTTGGGGGTTGGTTTGTTTTTAAGCTGTGCCTTGGGCTGGAGTGCCAGGTTGAGCTACATCACCTGCACCTTTATGGTTAGTTCAGGAGGCTCCTTGCTACAGCTGGGAAGACAGAGCCTCGGGAACTTGCCCCAGGTAGAGCAAGGAATTGATCCTATGCATCAAGTCCCAGGTTAGCACCCCAACCACTGCACAGCCCCCCCAAAAGGAGTCTGAGGGAGAGCAATAATGTCCTGTCTAGTAAGCATGGTGGGAGAGATTCTCTTGAAAGCACCTACATCCTGCACCAGATTACAGTAAAGGCAGGATGGAAGCTCCCGAGTCACTTGCTGGGTCATAAAAGTCTATTGATTGACCCCAAGTGAGAACTCCTCCTCCTCCCCTCCCCCCCAGCCCCACACTGCATTGATCAGCCTTCACCCAGGCACCAATCCACCCAGAACAAGAGGGTCAGGAAGAGCTGGGAACAAAACCCTCTCGCTGATTGGTGGAGAGGCCAGATGCTCCTGCCCCTGCCCCACCCTACAATCAATTAGAAATGTCAGTGTCTGCTTTCTTCACAGCTGGAGCCAACACCATAAGGTCACTCAATACAATCCCTAACAGATGTTAAAACCTGATGACTGGGGAATGAAGGATCTGGGATACAGCAGGGGAATGGATTGTAGGCATGGGGGCAGGGGGAGGATGTGGAATTCAATTTTTTTATATTGCAAGCAGATCAGGGGATTTCACATACGCGCACGCTCTCTCGCTCTCTCTCATGCAGCTTCAATGGATCTTTTGTACCTGTGCTGGTTCGATGGCAGTCAGTCCCCTCTGGCAAGAGATCCTCATGCACTCTGCTGCCCTCTCAGCGGGATGTAGTGCTGTCACCTGCTATGACCACTCGAATGCATGGCAGGCTGCAACTGGAGTCTGATTAAGAATTAACCCGTTTTTGATTCATCGTGATTACAGGGGCTGCTGCGGGCTCATCCAGTTCTCCAGACCTGCCCGCTTCAAGTCATCCTATTGGTTTCTTCAATGCTTTTCCCTGGGACAGGGGCTTCGCTCAACACATTCTTCTCCAGGGGCATTGAGCAGTTGGTGCTAAGGATTATGGGGTCTGATGACAATCCATAAATCACTCCCACTATTTGATCTGAGGAAGTGGGTCTGGCCCACGAAAGCTCATCACCTAATAAACCATCTTGTTAGTCTTTAAAGTGCTACACAGTCCTGTTTTTTTACTTTACGGCTTGATCCACAGACTTGACAGAGAGGCTTCAGTGGGCTCTTGCTGTATGGCCTTAACTGTTGGAGGCAAGGGAGAAGTAAATAGACAGTTAAAATGGTGGTTGTTCTTTCTCACCTGTTAATGTTATTTGGTTCCTTAAACTGTTGGAGTGTTGTCTGTTAACCCCCTACCCCTTCCCTGAGTGAGTGCAGAAGAATGTCTGAGGTAAACAGCAGGAGTAAACAACAATGCACAAGGCCCCCTACGGCCCCCAGCAGGGTGTGCATACGGCCCCCAGCAGAGAGTGCACACGGTCCCAAGAGGCCTAGACTCAGAGGCTGCATGTGGCTGATCCTTGAAGGAGAGAGGGACAGAGAGGGACAGAGACACAGTGGTGGTGGACCATCAAGTGGAGCCTCCCAGAACGCCCTTTGCTCGGATCGCCTGGCCAGCGGACCAGCTTAGGAGTCAACTTGGGAAGATCAAAGAATATGAACTGCCTTCTGCTCGCCTTATCATCCTGCCTGGGACTGTAAGTGTGATTGA